GGAGAAATCAACAGGATTGCCAAGAGTCCTGAAGCCAGAAGCCTTCTCTCCATACGGTGATGATCCAGGGGCCAATGTGGTTAATAGAAAAGAGCTCTGCCTCTTCAGCCAGAGGACTTGGGTTCGAATCTCAGTACTGAGGTTTCTTATCTGTGTTACCATGGACAAGTCCCTTCCTCTCTCTAGGTCTTAGTTTTGTCATTTGTAAAATGGGGACTGGACTAAGTGCTTCTGAGGTCCCACAGGATTATGAGTCTATATCATAACATTAATAAAACTGGGTAATCTGCCCAGGGCCCAATTGAGAGTATGGGGCAAGAATGACTTCGAGCCTGATGAGGTCCAAGGGGCCCTCCACAGAGGCCAAACCCTTCATTTTACAGGTGGGGAAAGGGAGCCCCAGAGAGGGGCGGTCATTTGCCCAGGGTCCCACAGGCAAGACGATTCCAAAGTAGGATGTGAACTGAGGTCATTGGACTTTAGAGTCAATGATTCCCCAGCAGTCCACACCCAAACATTTCTCTTACTGGGCTAGTCAAAATTTTTTTAATTCTGAATGAGAAATACAGACATGGAGAGAGCTGACACCCATAGTTCTTTGTGTGTCTATTGTACAAAGGTCAGCCAGAGGAGCTGTCCCTTTTGAAGCGGACAATTAAAAATGAGAAGGTATCGTAATCGTTTTATCTGGTATTTGAACTAACAATTACTCCAGCACACATAATCTCAGCCGCTTCCTTGGCTGGCCGGCCGCTGAAGGGCTGTACGCTGGGTTAGTCAGAAAATACCTTCTGTTCCTATTTGGAATTCTAATTTAAAGGGGATTTGGTGTGCCTCCCTCTCTTCCTTATAGAGGTAAAGGACTGTGGGTGTGGAACATCATATATGATATCAGGCTCGGCTGATGTATTATCGGTCAGTCTGAACCGCTTTTTTCTTTCTTTATTAAAAGGAATTAGTTATAAGGGATGTCTTGCTGGATAGGGAAGGGCAAATATATGACGCAAAAGTAAAAGCTATCAATACTAGTTTATCGTGTTTTTTTTTAACTTAAAAAATAAAAGGGGGATTTGGAAAGATCATCAATAAAGCAAACAAATCCCAGGACCCCCATTTAAAACAGCCAAGTCTTTCCAAATGCCAGTGGCCACAAGGATTCCGCCCCTCGGGGGGAGGAAGGAGAGGTCCACCCTGAGTGACAAAGGTCAGATTTCTGCAGGCCATAGCCCTTCTGGAACTCGAAGTGCTCCTGGGCCATCATTGTTTGCCGTGGTCCCAGGGGGGCAGGGGCGGCTCCAATCTGTCCCCACTGCCGGAGGGATGCCCCTGTGGTCACTTTAATCAGCTCAGGGTCACCAAAATCTTGCTGTCCTGGTTCCTGTCACTCCACCCCCACCCCAGCCCCTAAATCTGCCCGGTAACTTTTTGGGCACTCAGTGCTGATGTCGGCAAAAACAGAAATGAGTTCGAAGATCCCGGTCATACTCAACAAGGGCCTGTCCTGTCAGTTCTCATCCACGGGCCCTTTTCTGAATCCAGGAAGGAGCTGAATGGGCTTGTAGGGACAGAGGATCAAGAGTCAGCTTAAAGACATTTGTGATTGTGGTCCTCATCCTTTGGTACAGTTTACTGTGTGCTTGGGTCCCTTTCAATCCACTCAGTTCAGATTTAAATAGATTCTTTCTTAAATAAAATCCAAAATTCCATAGAGATAATATTTATACAGAACTTATTTTCAAACAAAGGCACTGAATACTGCATAAAAAATTTTCATGCTAACCATATCGGTCTCTCTACTTGACAAATGTATATTCAAACACAGGCACAATTTTAGATATATGAGTGTATGTATGTATGTGTTTATAATACTTCATATACATATATGTGTGTACATATGTGTATAGACATCTATTTGTGTAAAATGCACATCATTTTTCAAGATTTGAGATTGTGTGGTCCACTTTTAATTAACAAAGTATCTGGTCGAGCATTTTAAATCACACACCCAAAACATCTGCCCTGAATTATAGCCTGCTTCTCTTATAGAGACAACAGGAATTGAATTAAAGAATATTTGGAAACCCCTGCAGAGATATGAAAGCATTAACAGCTGCATGAGAACGTAACCGTCACAAAGTCAGAAGTTTTTCAGATCGACAGACAGCCACGCCGTCCAGATCTATGGGATTTTTAAAAACAGGCTGGGAAGGAGAGAGAAAAGAAAACCCTTTCCTGCAGAAAACGGGAAGAAGCGGGTCCCATCCGGATGGGTGGGTCCAGGCTGCGTGCCCCAGCCCAGCCTGGCCCCCATTTTCCACATTAATCCCCAGCCTGGCACACACGGTCTGTATCCTACTGTGGACAGAAGATAGAATGAGATGAGGAGATAATCTCGACCGAGAACTTTAAAAAACAAACCTTGTTGGACAGTAAATCTACAACACTGTCTCAAAGAGAAAACGAGTAAGTTTGTTTCCATTTTTTGGAATAAAGCTGTTCTCATGGAAAGGGCTCTGCTAGCTCTTTGCTCATCCCGAGGCAGGAGGCCAATGGCAGTGGGTTTCAAATGCCGCTTCTTTTCAACATCAGAACCAGGCTGGCCATCAGCTTCCAGCCTCCTGGAGGTGGAGGCCCATTCAAAGGCCGAGGCCCAGCAGGAGGCCAGGCTTTCTCCTGGGCGTGTAACTGTATCACTCATCATCGGCAGCCTCCTGCCGTCAGGAGCCCATGTTTTCTTTCAGTGTCCCCTTGCACTCCGAAATGCCAGTCGTGGCCCTAAGACCCCAGGCCGTAGCCTCCCTGTCTCCATCAACAGCCCCTGCAGAGGGACAGGGCAACTCTGTCCAGCCTACAGCTAGGCCTCTGTGGTCAGTGGCGCTTCCAAGTGCACACCGCCTAAAACCTACCTTTTGTCTAGATCTGGACTCCCTGAATGTGCTCAGCAATAGTGAAATTCTGTTGTGTGTATGTGTGACTATAGATGAGTGTGCAAGCACACTCACATGGGCATGTGTAAGGAAATTCCATCTAATCAGAAACAGAGGCTGCATTTGAGTCAGCAGTGACTGACAGAGTCAGACTTGACTTGAATCAGGGTACAGAAAAGAGCTCTTCTCTACTACATGAAACCCTTCCTTTTGATTCCTTACTCAGAAAGGTACCACCTAAAAACCAAACAGCCCCCCAAAAAACCTCTCAGCCTAGGACATACAAAGGTCACCCAAACCTCTCAGGAGCAGGGAAGACATCTTCCACCTTTCTTACATGCTTCTCCCTCCCCAGTGTCTAGGACAGGGTTGATACACAAAAGGAGATCCACAATTACTTGATGACTGATTGAAAGAAAATAGTTTTTGCATTTTGGAACATGCACACGTGGTACGGGAATACAACAGTCTACGTTAATGCGCTTGCTGTAAGAAATGATGTCAAGTTGCCAAGCATGCATATGAAGGATTATACATATAAGAAGTGTATAAAGAATTCGGAGAAGCGTGGGAAGACTGACATGAACTGATGAAGACCTAAGTAAGCAGAACCAGGACAACTATGCACAACGACTAGCACAAGACAGCAACAGGGACCACACGATGCAAAGTGAACACCATAAAATCATAACGAACAAGTTCGGCTGCACAGAAAAGGTCTGAGCAGGCTGCCTCCCCTGTCCTTCCTTGCAAAGGCGGGGGACTATGGGTGTGGAACACTGCACACATAGGATGACCATTTTTTTTCAGTGTTTTAGTTAATTTTACCGATTTTTTTCTCTCTCTTTTATTCACCACAGTAATTCATGGATCCATTTATGAAGATGTGGAGGGAGATACTTATTAACCAAATCAAAGAGCTTTCAAAACACTGAAGAAAAATGAATGCAAAGGACCTTCAGCTTTATTTGTCCTGTTCTATACATTACATATGAAATTCTGCATAGTATTAAACCCCTGCAAACTTGTGACCTGAGTGAGGCAAGAAAAAGCAAGATTTTTTTTTCAAACCTAATAGCTTCTCAGAAGGTTTGGACGAGAGGGAAAGTCTTCTAATGTTGGTTGGAGCACCATCTTCAGGAGCCGCCATAGTAAAGGGGAGATAAAAGGGCGGAGGCTTTCCAAACCCATTTGAATAAAAGGCACAAATATCTTTGCCATATCAGAGCTAACACAGGGAGATACGTCTAAGTGGACACAGAAAGTGAGAGGAACAGAAAACGATTCTGAATCGGGGAGTAGCATATAAATTCTAAACAACAGCTCTTCCATCTGAGTTAATTTGAGCTGGTGGGCAAAGGACTTCCCAGAGTTCTCCTGCATCCTACAAAACTGACGGGCAAGTCAGTCAGTCCGTCTGGACTTAGTTTCCTCCTCATTGAAAAGGGAACCTATAAGCACCTCCTTTTTCAAGGTGATTTAACAAGAAAGAAAAGGAAGGAATGAGAACGTTCTCTTCTCTCATTCCTACTCATCCTCCCTTCCCTGTAACTGGGGTGAATGCTGGCAACTCATCTGCAGTCACGAGACATTGAGGAGTCCAATGTACTGTGGATGCCCACAACATAATTATTAAAGAAGCCGTTTCAGTTTCATTCTTGAATGCTGAAAAGTTATCCCCAAAAGATCCCAGAAGCCACTCTATCAGCCTATGTCAGGTCAGGTAATTGAAATAATTTGGAAATATAAAATTCTCTTAAATACATGATAGAAATTAAAATGACAAACAAAGCTAGCTTCATGAACACCCTCTAAATTAGCCATTCAAAGCAGATATATTTTACTTGATAAACAGACATATGTGTGTGTATGTATATATAATGTGTATGATATAATGTATACATATATAACAGAAATATTCAAAGTAGATCAGAGTGGATATAGTCTAGGAATATATCCTGAATGACTCTAGTTAAAACCTTTTGATTCATCCCTCCCCGTGATCATGCCACTTGCCTCAATGAGATGCTGCCCTGAGCTGAGTTTGGAAGCCTCTTCGTTAAATCTACTCACCAGTTTTTCGAAGTGGGAAGTCATCTTTTGTGTCTTGTGCTCCAGGTAATGGGTATTTGTAGGATGGTGAGGTTCCACTCAGGGGTGGAGAGCTTTGATCTAGGGAGGTGTGGTGAGCCGCCCTGTCAAACACAAATAGTCACCAGTCAGCAGCACTCCAGTCTTCATGTGACGCAGACCAGACGTTACCAATCACACACACTCTTTATTTAATGACCTGCTTGTAGTCAGAGTTTTACTTCTTGATGTAAGGACAGACATGGCCTCACCTGACCACTGTTAATGTAGTGATGCATTGTACAACAATGCAATATTCAATTCCTTTTGACAGACTTTTAGTAACTTAGTATGTGCCCTCAAGAAGCTTACATTCTATCGGATTCCTAAGAATGCCCATTGTATATTTAGTAAAATCGTGCAAAGTGGTCAGTTACACCGAACATAGACCTTGCCAAGAGACTTTCAACTGCTATGTAGATTTTATGTTTCTCTAAAGAAACATGCTAGTAAAGAGAGAAAGGAATATTCATCTTTGGGGGCCACAGATACTTGGTGACTGAGAATGAGGTCACCTCAATGCGATTTTTCAAAAATTAATCTTCCTAATAAGCGCATACTGCAAGGGGCAAGAGCCATCCATCAAACAAAGAGCTAACCATGTTCCTCTACTTTCCTGGCGAGAAGAGCAGCCTCATGGCTTAGTAGGAAAGCTCATTAACATGTGTTCTCCTAACAGAACTGGGCAGTGAGGATGCCTTGATGAGAAAATGTTGTATCAGAAAGTGCGGGAGCTCCTTGTCATGAGAAGCTTGAAGGTGAGAGTGGATCCCAGCAATGAGGTCCTAAGCATAGGCTTCTATGCACAATATGACCAGTTACAGCACTTGGAGAATGGATCCGCCCAACATTTTCCATTCAACATTAATCTCACACCAAGCTGTGGATTGGATACAGAAAGAGTAGGTTTCACATTCTGCTTCTGGCACTTATTAGCTGTGAGACCAGAGAGAAGTCACTCAGAAATTCAGTTTCTTCATCTGTAAAATGGGAATAACACTGCCACAGTAACACCTTGACTTCAGATGGGGTGCTGTGAGGCTTCAAAGAGAGAGTGCCTATAGGGTGCTTTGCCATTTTCTAACCACAACATAAATAAGAGTGTATCATTATTATTAATTATTTATTACTCCTCAGACTAATTCCTGTTAAAAACAAACACCCCAATGGCACATGGGAATCACCAGAAAAAATACAGCCTAAGTACATCAGAGTAGATCAAATGCTGGAGTTGGTACAGGAAAGATCTGGGTTAGAATCCTGACTCCAACACTTAAGCCTCAGTTTCTTCATCTGCAAAATAGAGCTAATGATAGTCGTCTAACTGGCATGGCTGTCAGAAGAATCAAGTGGGATCATACATGTAAAGCCCTTTGTAAAACTTCAATACTTGTATTTTTATTTTCATATTTCATGCTTAGGACAAGTCCACCTGAGCTGGCCCAGGCAACAGTTTCACATCTATGGAAAGATCTGGCAAACAATGGGCATGTGTTATATCTTTTTAGAACTCATTTTATAAAAACAAACCCAAACACTTTCCTATCTAATCATTGCAGGCAAAATGGCCGCTCCTCGATATGAGCGGGTTACCCGCTGAAAATGCCCCTCCACTGCCAGTCCTCTTTAACCTCCTCCTCAATCATCCTTGCATCTCCTCTAATGATCGTATTGTACACATTTACCTGTTTAAATGATGTCTCTCTCTTCCCACTCAGCCCTACCAACTAGAAAGTAAGCTCCCCTAAGGGCAGACACAGTTTTCCATTTTGTGTTTTTGTCTCCAACGTCTATTACGGTGACTGGCACACAGTGGGCTCTTAATAAATGTTTATTGGCCAGGATGAGTCTGATCTGATAACTCAAATTATACATGTAATTGAAAATTATGTGGCTTTCCTTCTTTAAAGATGCGGGAAAGATCAGCTTGGGCTGGCTGGTCCACTGAAGAGCCTTTCAATGAATGTGAGGCTTCAGATTAATTTCTCATGCTATCCTCACATATCTTTTCCCCATTCTGGAGAACAGGAAAGCTCTTCCTCTTTGAGAAGCAACTACTATGGTTCTTCACATTTGACATGTGATATCTACTAAGAGACTGTATTAAATGGTAAACAATATATCTCAGTGGGAAGGAGAAGCCCCAGGATGCATTCCTGAGCAGGATAAGCAAATCTTCATCAGACAGGGTGCTTGCTTCTCTCTTCCCTGTGAAGGTCGTAAAATATGCCTAAAGCTGGCCAGCACACTTTTTCTTTTCTTTTCTTTTCTTTTTTTTTTTACAAAAAGATGAATGAAATTTTAAGAATCTATTACACCTTCTTAAGGTATAATAATACTTAACAATACTGTCCTCATCCTCTGGCCAAAGGACCCCTCCCTGAAAACACATGCACCATTTTAAACAAGGAAAGCATTTTAACGTCTATGTCCATTTCATTTGCAGAAATATAAAAACACCAGTGGCTATACATTATAAAAACAGCTCTCCCTTACTCTTTGAGAGTTAGAAACCAAATAATTCCAAAATGCAAAAAGCAAATTTAATTGCTGCAGGTATTTTTTTCCCTAGAATTATTTTTTTTATTGTTGAAATATAAGTGTCATAGATTTTTAAATCCATAACGGGTCGACTACTACCCTATTTATTCAACAAATAAATTTACACAAAATCCCACTTTGTCAAGTGTGTTATTCTACAGACCAGATGCAATTTGTGAATTAAGTTGCTCTACACATCCCAGGACCGACCAATTCATCACTTATCTCTTCTGGAGGAAATATTTCTCTTTGGTCTTCTCGCCCTAGTAACCTATGGGTTTTAGCCTGTGGCTTTGGGCTTCAGTTTTGGAGTTTCGTTCCCAGGGCACCCGCCAAGGCCGATTATGGGAGGCATGCAAGGGTGGTGAAGGAAAACAGCTGGACACAGACACCTACGTGTACCAGAGCTTGGGGTGGCGGCTCACGGAATGGTTCTTTCCGTTAGTGGGAGAATCCTTGGTGGCTGACTTGCTCAGCAGGAATTCCTGAAGTTTCTGCTTCACCTCTGTACTCGCCACTGCTCCTGTATCACACAGACACACACAGTGTTTGAGCCGGGCTTGCTGTCCTTCCCCAAGAACGTTCAAAGAAATAAAACACAGCAAAATAAAATAAAATAAAAATAAATAATATAAATAAATAAAAATAAAAGCCGGAAACCCACCCGCCCCAGGCAGCAAACAGAGCTTCTCTGCTAGGAAAGAAGCAGCTTTCAGATGCCAGACCCCAAACAAGCCAAGCCCGGGCACGAGGCTCTTCAGCAATCTGAAAGCATTAGTTGATCGCTGGACATGTAAAATCAACAAGAAGACTTCATGATTTGGGGAATTCTTATCTCTCCAGCTTCGCTTTTTTTCAAAACGGAAAATGGTTTCAAAGGATTAATACACTGAAATTGACAACTTTAATTTCCCGAGCATTAAAGAAATGCGTTGGGAGGTGAGGTGGGGGCGGCTTTATAACCAGCAGTTTGGGGGAGGAAGGGATCGTGTTTTCTGGATTTCTCATCCTCTATCACTATTACAGAGGGTCTATAAATTTGTCAAATTCATTCATTTAAAGGGGAATTTAAAATGGATCAATATTTTACCAGGCCCAGCTAACGAGCCTGTCCTGTCCATCTCAGACCACCGTTCATCTTTCCGTAGCTCATGCTGCTCGGCCCTTGGGAGGTGAGGCAGCCGTGAGCAGCGTCCCCAGCTCGAGCTAGCGCACGTGAAGCTCGGCTCCAACCTGCTTTCAAACCGGCCTCATTCGGGGAATTATTTGGATCTGTCTCCCTCTGGTGGCTGTCGCTTTGCAGCAGCGTACCTCAAGCCTGGAAGCATCCCGGAGCAGGGACGGGTGCAGAAAAACCTGGAGGCTGGGGGAAAGGGGGCCAGCCAGGGTGGGGAGACCCAATTAGGGAGAGCTCTCCACACAAAGACACCGAAGTGCAAACTTATCAGGCCTCCAATCACGCAAAATGGGCTCAGGCTCATTGTCGCGCACTCCCACGCCATCCCCACGGCTGTGGCAGCGATGCCCAGCGAGTGAAGCTCTAGCTTTAAGACTCTCGTCTTTCGTTGATTTTTCACGGGAACCGGACAAATGTGAGAAGGGCCATTTCCTTTTCCCCACCAGAGTCTTTTGTGAGTGAGGACAGGCCAAGCCCAGAGCTGGGGCGAGGGGCAGGGAAAGGGACCAGCGGCTGGGCCAAGCCTCTTACGTTCTCTGCCTCTCTCCTTGCCTCGGAGAGGGGGCAGCTGCTGCTGCTGCTGCTGCTGCTCCCGCCGGTGTCTCTCCACCTCCTGCTCCTGCCGCTGCTGCTGCTCTAGCTTCTGCTCCTTCTCCAGAAGCTCCTGCTGCTGCTTTATGGCCAGAAGTTCCTGTTGCAACTTGCGAGAAGAGAAAGACGTGAGAGTTTGCAATGGGCTCGGGTCCTCCGGCCACGGCCGGTCCCCCTGCCGTCAGCCAAGCTGGGGTCTTCTCTCATCTGGGCTGCTAGGGAGCTTTTCTCTTCTGGGTTAATGAACTCAAAGCGAAACACCATCAACAAGGGGGAAGGGAAAGAGAATGATGAAGAGAGAGAGGGAGGGAGGGAGGGGGAGACACAGAGACAGAGACAGAGACGGAGACAGAGAGAGAGAGGACAGAAAGTAGGAGGGAGAAAGAGGAGAAACAAAGAGAGAGAATGGGAGAGAGAGAAGAGAGAGAAGAGGAGAGAGAGGAGGAGAGAGAGAGAGGGAGAGAGAGGAGAAAGAGAATGAGAGAAGGAGAGAAGAAGAGAGAGAAAGGAGAGAGAAGGAGGAGAAGAAGAGAGAAGAAGAGAGAGAGAAGAAAGAGGAGAGAGAAGGAGAGAGAGGGAGAGAAGAAGGAGGAGAAGAAGAAGAAAAAGAGAGAGAGAAGGAGGAGAAGGAGGAGAAGAAGAAGAAGGAGAAGAAGAAGAAGAAGAAGAAGAAGAAGAAGGAGAAGAAGAAGGAGAAGGAGGAGAAGAAAAAAAGGAGAGAGAGAAGGAGGAGAAGGAGGAGGAGAAGGAGAAGAAGAAGAAGAAGGAGAAGGAGAAGGAGAAGAAGAAGAGAGAGAGAAGGAGGAGAAGAAGAAGGAGAAGGAGAAGAAGAAGGAGAAGGAGAAGAAGAAGGAGAAGAAGAAGAAGAAGAAGAGAGAGAGAAGGAAGAGAAGGAGGAGGAGGAGGGGGAAGAGGAAAGGAAGAGGACAGCAGGGAGAAAAAGAGAAGAATGGGTTGGCAAAGAGAAAAACAAATGTGGGAAGGGAGAAAGGAGAAAGAAAAGTGAGTGGCTGGCCTACATAGTGTATACACAAAGCTTTTTCTCATAACCACATTCTCCCATCTTGCTTCAGAAGAGAGGTAGAAATCTGAGTGAACTGGTACAACTGTGCCTGAAGAGAAAGTTCAAATTCCACCGACTTGGATTCGGGCAGTTCACAAGAGAATTGTTCCCCAGCACTCCAGCGGGCCTGTGCACCTAACCTCTCCCCCTCAGCTTCCTCTTCTCTGGAACAGCAGCCCCCAGGGGCTCACATAATCACCAAACTGCCGATTGGGGCATTGCCCGGGAAAGGGGCCTGGCCATCAGAGCACACTGGCATGGTTTGTTTGTTGTTCTTATTCCTTCCCTTAATTGTCAGGCCAATGCTCTCCCAAGCAACTTCCAGCTGCCTTGGCCTCCTGCGCTAGAACCCGGGCCACAGAGAGGGACAGAGGCCGAACAAGCAGCAGGCATGCAGCAGGCTACATCCTCGGGGACAATCAGCCGCTCGCTGTCTCGCCAACTCTGGGCCTAAAACACGGTCCTCATTAATATGCACGTGGAATGAGATCTCAACATCCTGACTCTACTGAATTTAAACCTCCAAAGTGGGCAACAGCCAGGCCCTCAACAAATGTATTTCATGGAATTTGCTTCAGGACCATAAGAATACATATCTGTGTGGGTGTGTGTATGTTTGTGTGTATATGTGTGTCAGTGAGGGTGAGAGTATATGTGTGTACGTGGGTTGTGGAAAATGTGAGTATGTGTATGCGTGGGTGTGTGTACATATGTGTGTCTATGGGTGTGAGCATGTGGATGTATGTGTGTGTGTGTGAGTCTGTGTGTGTCTAAGTGGGAGCGTGCATAAGGGTGTGAGTGAGTCTCTTTTTGGTTGGACCTGTGAATCCATCTCTGTGAACGATTTCTAAAGCAAGTCCCAAAGCTGAGACTCAAGGGAGGTGCTGAGGCGGTGGTCTGTCACAGGACATCACGGTGCACTGGAAAGAAGGCTGAAGATCCAGTCCCAGCCCTGGTACTCACTTCCCGTATGACCTTGGGCAAGCCCCTTTACCCTTCTGAGCACCCTTTTCCTCATCTGTGAAATCAAAGGTCCTTCCCAGCCCTAAATCTGGTCTCCTTCCACATCTTCACAGGCATCAGGGCTGAGTCATGGGACAGCAGCATCGGAAACTGGGCAGCAGAATGGGAACTCCCCTTGACTTCTCTCAGCCTAGAGGCTCTTCCATCCCCCAGGGGAAGATCTAGTCATGGTGGCTGGTGCCATTTTGGGCAGTCCTCTTGATCCCGTGCACTCTCAATTAGTAATGACCTTCATTTGTTTTCTTCTATAACTTCTCTACTGTCCTAGCCCCAGTCAACAAGCATTTATTAAGCACCAGCTATATGCCGTTTTTGCCCTCAGGAAGCTTACATTCTTTCTAGCACCTTTTCTCTCTGCCGCAAACAAAACATAACTGGGGTCCTCAAAAGTATGGGAAGGACTCCCCTTCCTTCACAAAATCAGCTGGTCCCACAGAGGCTTGGCCTTGTTTGTTTGTCTTTCTTTGCAGCCCCCAGAGGGCTCCAGGGACCCCTAACATACAGAGTGATTGAACCATCTTCAAATGGTCACTCTACAATGATACACAACTCCAGAGGAGCTACACACATCCAGTGGGGTAAGACTCTCTAATGGCATCTCTTTCATGACAGAGATGGGGATTCCCAGAATGCAGTGCTCAGGGTCACGGGCCGATGGCATTAGAGCTAGAAAGGACTTCAGAGCCAAAGTCGAAGCCATGCTCTTTCCAGATGAGGAAAGGGAAGCCCAGAGAAATGAAGAACTGGCCCAAGGTCACACAGACAGCATGGGTTAGGTCACTGTCACTCCAAGACCAGGTACCACACCATACTGCTTCTTACATCATCATCATCATCATCATCGTCTTGGTCGTCCTTGTGGTGATCATTATTATTAATATTAACAATAACAACAAGCTTGGCTAACAAGCTTTAAGGACTATACACAAGATTCAGACCAGGTCTCTGACTCCCATTAGAACACTTCTTCCGCTATACCATACTGACAGCTGCTAATTGTGTGACCCTGAGCATAGAGCCTACCGAGGCCTCAGTTTCCTCATCTGTAAAATAAAGGAGACGTCTTCTTTTGTGAGGAAAAGGACCTAGAAACCAAGAGGGTGTCCATCAATTGGGGAATGGAAGAAAATGCTATGGAATATAAACATGGTAGAATACTGTTGTGCTCTAAAAATGACGAAGAGGACAGTTTCAAGGAAACCTGGCAAGATCTGTATGAACCGATGAAGAAGGAAGAGGAACAATTTATATTATAACAACAATGTTGTAAAGATAAACACACTGACCAGCTGCAATTCCAGAGGACTCATGATAAAACCTGCCATCCACCCTGTGACGGAGAGGGGACGGCTTTGACTTGACTGAGACATATTTTTGGACACGTCCAGTGAAGGAATTTGCTTAACTATGTATATTTCGCCAGAGGATTTGTTTTTCATTCTTTCTCAAGGTGGGACAGATGGGAAGAGCAAAAGAGAAGGCAGTTGTTTTTTATTTTTTACAAATTAAAAATTTGATTCAAAATGAATTCATCACAGCAGTCGTTCCAGGCCTATGTTACAGTATAGTAACATAGTATACACTATAGTAACATGGGCTGTGTGAGCCTGTGTTACAGTTCACGTTACTTCTCCTTCCTAGCACCAGCAGCAGGGTTTCTCTGCTGCCGGAGACCCACAAGACTCATGGATAAGTCTAAGGTCCCGGCTCCTCAGAAGAGCTCGGGGCAGAATAGGGCCAGAGTTCCCCTGTCACCCACCTGGCCATGTCTGCGTATTGCGCCAATCCCTCCTGAGTCCCCCGACCACGCCCGGTCATGAGAGGAGCCCCCTCCCAAAGCCAGGAGAGGGGAGAAGAGAGCGCGGGCTACCTTGATGTGTTCCTGTAGTTGAGCCTGGTGCTGCCTCGTCAGGTTCTCGTGCTGCTTCTGGAATTCTGCGATGAGCAGCTGCTTCTGCAGGTGCTGCTGCTGCTGGATGAGAAGAAGCTCCTGCTGCAGCTGCTTCTCCCGCAGCACAGGGTCTACCATGGGCATCATCATTCTGAGGTCCGTCCTCAAGTCCAAGGGCGTGACGGGGTCCAGAGTCACGGGAACCTCCGACTTCACCTCCACTGCAGGGCAGAAGGGAACAAAGACAGAAGGGATGACGACAGCAGCTGGGGAAACACCTTGAAAGCCCAAGCTCTGGGGGGAGGGGTCCACAAAAGCCTAGGAGTCACTTCTATGCGGCTCAGTGATGGTGGATGTCAAATCAGGCAAAAGGAAGGTTTACCAGAGAGAAAAACATCATGAGATGACAAACACGCCCCTGGAATCCAGTGGTTCTAATGTCTGCAAACAACATAACTAGGGTCAGGCGAATGGAGCTTCTTCTCAGGGTACTGAATATCTGATAGCACTCACAGACACTCTGCATCTTGGAAACAACAAAGCTTAGAGCCTAGGTAGCAAGATTAAAGCTTCATCCCCATCTGCTGCTGCACCACATTTACAATCGCATCCACACCCCAACAGTGGTGTATACCTCAGAATCCTGATCAAGGGGCCTATCCTCCCCCTTTAAGTAAAGACATACGTTGGGCCACTTTTGTGATGCGTGACGTAGGTGCAAACGTTCCAGTTACAGTTCGAGGCACAAATATGGGCCTTGGGAGCATCTGTGTTGTCTTTCAAAAGGAACATGGGATAAAACAAATAGAAATAATGCTGAATGTGGGTGTGAATCCTGAAACCTGACTCTAGTTCTTCTGCTTCTCTAGGTCTCACTTTCCTCAACTTAACTTGATGGGGTGAAATAAGTGACCTTTAAGAATGAGCCTCTGGGAGGCAGCTAGGTGGCGTACCGCATAGAGCACCAGTCCTAAAGTCAGGAGGACCTGAGTTCAAATCCGGCCTCAGACCAAACTGTGTGTGACCCTGGGTAAGTCACTTAGCCCCAATTGCCTTTAAAAAAAAAAAGAGCCTCTGGGGTAAGTGGATCAAGGAAAGGAATCATACTGGAAAAGGAAACTGACATGGAACATAGTAAATTAATTAATTCAGTAGAACATTCGTCTTACATCAAATGTGACTGAGAGATCTCTAAAACAAAATGAAAGAAAAGTCAGTTTAAAACAGAAAAAGGTGATGGCAGGGAAGGAATGAACATTTATATTCCCTACTATGTGCCAGGCACAGTGCTAAGCATTTTACAAATATTATCTCATTTGATCTTCACAACAACCTTGGGAGGCAGGAGCTATTATGATCCCCATTTTACAGATGAAGTAACTGACACAGACAGCAGTTAAGTGACTTGCCCAGGTCATAGAGCTAGTAAATGTTTGAGGCAAGATTTGAATTCAGGTCTTTCTGAGTCTAGGCCCAGCGCTCTCTCCACTGCACTACTAGTTGCCTCTAGGATAGAAGAGTTAGTGACTCCCCATTTCTTCTTTTTTAAATCGAAAGCCCTGCATAGTCTGGCTCCACACCATCTTAGCAGACTCATCCCACATTATTTCCCCAAATACAATCTGCATTCCAGTCAGACTGTACTAGTCCCCTAAAAGACAGCCCTTCCCCCTCAATGCCTATACACAGTTTGCTGCCCCTGCCCCCCTCTACCCACCTCTGCCTCTTGGCAGCCAGGGTTTACTTCAAGACCAGACTTAGGAGAAAGCTCTATATGAGGCCTCTTCTGATCCCCTCCCTCCAATTGTTACTATTCTCACCAGTTATTACTCGGTATATATTGTGCCTTCACTAATGTGAGTGAGTATATGCTGTCCAGACCCACTTCCAGTAGAATGTAAGCTTCTTAAGGTCAGGCACCATCTCTCTTTTGTCTCTGGATCTTCGTACCTAGGACAGTGTCTGCACGCAGCAAAGACTTAATAAACACTTGCTTGACTTGGTGACGAGAAGTAAGTCATATATATCAAAGTAACACCTCCAAACGGCACAGAATCACAGAATCTGGTGAGATCCGAACCTCGGGCCCAGTTTAAACAGGAAAGGAGCCCTTGCTCTACGATACTGGACGGGGGTCAGGTGGTTATTCAGCCTTTGCTTAAAGATCTCTAACAAGGAAGAGAGAGCTCCACATTGCTGGCTGTACATACATATACATATGTATGTATGTATGTATGTACAAGTATATATACACATGTATGCACGTGTAACATGCACATATATTTTACTTTAGTTTGACATTCATTTTTATTGAGTTCCAAATTCTCTCCCTCTCTCCCAAACCTCTCCCCCTTTGAGAAGGCAAACGATATATCAATTATATATGTGAAGTTATACAAAACATATTTCCTTATTATTCATGTCGCAAAAAAAGAAAGTAAAAAAATTTATACTTCAATTTGTACTCAAGAGTTCATCCATTTTCTCCCCAGAGATGGATAGCATTTTTCATTACAAGTCCTTCAGAATTGTCTTGGGTCATTGTATTACTGAGAGTAGCTAAGTCATTCACAGTTGATCATCATACGATATTACTGTTACTGTGTACAATATTGTCCCGGTTCTGCTAACTTCACTTTGCATCAGTTCATATACATCTTCCCAGGTTTTCTGAAAGCATCCTGCTCATCATTTCTTATAGCACATTAGTATTCTGTCATAATCATATAAATGAACTGCTATAAATATTTTTGTATATGTGGGTTCTTTTCCCTTTTCATTGATCTCTTGGGGATATAAGCCTAGCGGAGGTATTGCTGGATCAAAGAGTATGCACTTTTATTAGCACTTTGGGCACAGTTCTACATCATTCTCCAGAATGGCTGGATCAGTTCACAACTCCACCAACAGTGTGCTAATGTTCCTATTTTTCAACATCCTCTCCAACATTTGCCATTTTCCTTGTCTGTCAGGTTAACCAATTTGATAGGTATGAGATGAGACCTCTGATTTTTTTAATTTGCATTTCTCTAATAGTGATTTATAACTTTTCTTTTCCACATGACCATCAATAGCTTTGACTTCTTCTGAAAACTGCCTATTCATATATCAACTGGGGAATGTTTCTTATTTTTTTTTAATTTGGCCCAGTTCCCTATATATTTGAGAAATGAGGCCTTTATCAGAGAAACCTGCTGTAAACATCCCCCCCCCATTTCTTGTTTTCCTTTTAATTTTGGCTGCATTAGTTTTACTTATACAAAACCTTTTCAATTTCAATAATCAAAATTACCCATTCTACTTCCTGTGATCCTCAGTATTTCTTATTTACTCATAAACTCTTCCCTTATCCACCAATCTGACAGGTACATTTTTCCACGCTCCCCCAATTTACTTCAGATATCGCCCTTTGTGTCTCAATCACTTATCCATTTTGACTTAATCTTGGTATTTGTTGTGAGGTGTTGCTCTACGCCTAGTTTCTGCTGAATTGCTTTCCAGTTTCTGCAGCACTTTTTTTGCCAACTGTTGAGTTCTTGCCCCCAAAGCTTGGGTCTTTGGGTTTATGAAACACTAGATTCCTATGGTCATTTGCTATTCCTGACCCAGTAGCAGACCGTTTTCATGATTATCCCTTTGTAATCCAGTTCTAGATCTGCAATTGCCAGGGACAGCTGCACTTTTGAACTGTTTTCATTATTAGCAAAGTTTTCCTGTGGCCCCTTTGCAATGTCCCCCATGGCTGCTGGTTCTGCCCTCTGAAACTCAACAGAAGAACTTAGCTGCCTCCTTGTGAAACAGCCCTTTCAATACCTCAGTGCAGCTCCCGTGGTTCCTTTCATTCTTCTCTTCTCCAGGCTAACTATGACCAGATCCTTCCACGGAGCCTCATCTTCCATGGACTCAAGGCCCTTTCATAACCTGGCTGCCCTCCTCTGCACTACTTCCAGCCATCGATGTACTTAACCGGGGTTCCCAGGCCAGGCGGCTGAAGTTCTTCCTAAATGAGGTGGTGACAAAAGCCTTCATTCTATAAACACATGAGCAGGAGCTTTCGGTGCTCCTTGTAATCTTGGGTTTCCACATCTGCCAATGGGTTGGCTTTAACCTCAAAGACACTTTTCCACTCAGAGAGGGAGGCTTAAGTCACTTCTTCGCCCTTATCAGAGATGTTGTCAGAGGGATGCCTTTCAAGCCTGACTTGGACTGGATGAAAGAGGAGTTTCCTTTCAATTTTACAATTCTGAGGTTACCTCCAAATAGCCAGTCCTGGATAACGTCAATGATAACCTCTCCTCATCAGAGTTCAAAAGGCCATACTGCAACCTCTATTCTTTATGTGGAAATCCCAATAAACAGAGGTCAGAATTCAGCCCTATAAACACACACAGAACTTCACGTTTAAAGATGCATGGGGTATAGGAGACCCCACATGTCTATTTTGTCTGGTTTTCTTATAGTCAATAAACTGGAAACATCAACCCTTTAAAACATGCGCATGGGCGCATACATGCATGCACGCGCACACACACACACACACACATACACACACACACACACAATTCTCTCCCCTTTCCAATAAACCCCCCAAGCCCCTGAACCAGTTACTGTAAACCTCAAAGAGTAATTTGCCTTCTTAACCTGCTATCTCAACAGAAATGATTGGGTCTAACTGCTTGCTTTTATTCAGAGTCTAATCACTAAATTGTGAAAAATCACCCTCAACTTACCCAAAGTGCTAGTGATTATAAATAATTGCCCCAGACCGAGAGAAAGCGGCAGGCAGGATCCCAGCCTTTCATCCAATTTATTCAGCAGCCATCCACATTCCATTTGTCTAGACTAAATATAGCAGCGTTTATACAAGAAATCAGGAGTGCTACCCGGGAGCAGGGGAAAGACATGAATATTTCATCAAATACAGGGCGGCGTGGCAATCAGCAGATGGACGGAGGAGCTCGGGGCTGGTCATCTCTGGCCTGATGGACACAGGCCTGCTCCTTGAAAAATAGCTCATTTCTAGCCAGTCTTCATCAGGTCGTGGAACTGAAGGCATCTGTTCTGGGTTTGGTTTGGTTTTTAACATAAATTGTGACAAAGGCCCATCCCACTCAAAAGAGAGTAATAGGATTTGTTACACCACTGCTGGAGTTGGCTGCTTCTGGACGTTGCCTTATGGAGGATTCTCGTACCCGGCACAGGACGGCTCAGAAAACCACTG